CGCTCATCTTCTCTAACCCCTCCTGAAGCACCCTCACTCCTGAGATGTAGATATTCTCAGTTCAGTCGAAGAAAGAACAAAAACAATTTCTCACAAGCTAAGCCTAAGGATCTTAGAAGAAAAAAAATCAAACAATTATTATCTCTCTTTCTATAGCCATTTTTTATAGATATAATTTGCTAAAAGTGCTATTCATAGCACACCAAGTGCTATTCATAGCACACACAATTATTATCTCTCTTTCTATAATCATTGTTTATAGAAATAATTTGCTAAAAGTGCTATTCATAGCACACCAATAGTGTTAGAAGTTTTCACCTTAAGACCAATCAAGTCTTAGGTCCACTACTGTTCCTATGAGAACTGTGGATTTCTTAATGCTACACTTAGTAATGAAGTGTCTTTGAAGTCTTGTGCATCATGGAGTCAGATGCCAATCACTCTCCAATCAAAACACCCCCTGGTACCACACTGAGGAGTGGCCCCATCTCCCCACACACCCTGTGGTGCTTTCAGGAGGTCGTGTCCTCTCCTTGCACTGCAGGACAGAGCTGAGTGTCCACTGGAAAGGAAACCCCGAGCAGGGAGATCCTGATCAGTCTGACCACGTGGGGATGCTGGAGCCCTGTGCTCGGCACTTTGTGAGCAGAGGCAGAGAATGCTCCGTGCAGGGCTCCTCCTCACCCGTGTCTGCAGCCCAGCCTGGTTTGTCCAGCACTCCAGCATCTCCCAGTTCGTTTGGGAGTGCCCAGGCAAGGACAGAGGGTGGGTTCACCGTGACCATGGTGATGAAGCAGCAGGTCACGCTGCTGTGTGCTGGACAGGGGATGGATGGTGGCAGGAGCAGAGGATTTTCCTTCTGCTGCTGGGACCGTTTGCCTCGCCCCTGCCTGGAGCAGGGGGTGTTTCTCACCATGACCTCAGCCAAAAATCCCTGCTCAGGGATTTTTGAATCCCTCCCAGCCCGTGGAGGGAAGTGGGAGGCAGCACAGCTCCCTGCTCACTGCGAGGTGTTGCAGATGCTGCTGCTTCCTCTTCCCACCAGCAAACCTCACGGAACCTGGAGCTTGCGCCCTGTAAATCACAGCCAGCCACTCCTGAGCTGCTCCAAACGCATCAGCTCTGGGCTGGGCATGGGCTGCTCATCGGGGACCCAGAATGGCCCCCACAGCCCAAGGGCTTCCTAACCCAACCACCCTAAGTAAGGGGGGCTCAGCAGGCTGGTGAGGGCACGGCTGGAGCATCACCCAGAGCTGGCACTGCTGCTGCAGGCCCCTGCCCACAGTGTGGACCAGCACAAACCCAGCCCTGCTTCCCTGGTGAAAGCACCATGGTTTGGTGGGGGCTGAAGGGCGACACATCCACTGAGGAGGAGGAGGAGGAGGAAGGAGGGGTTGGATGGGAGCGGGGCTGTTCGGTGATGCCGCGGCTTCGCAGATCTCATCTGGCAGCGCCGTGGGAAGTGTTTCCAGATGCTTTTGAGATGCTCAATTTATCTCCTCCTCCACTCTTGGCTTGCCAAATGGCTCCAGCAGCAGAAATGGCCCCACTGGGCAGCTGAGGCAGACCAGAAACAGCAGTTGCTGGGAGCTCTGGGGCAAGGGGGATTGGTTTTGATAGATTCAAGGCTGGTCTTAAAAGTCAGGAAGGGAAAAATAAACTTTGCAGGGCTTTTGGGTTATTTATTTTAACCACCTGCATGTTATGCAGGGGTGGGAAAAAGTAGAAGGGTGAAAAAAATAAAGGGGCAGCGGTTGAGAGCTGCTCTGCACATCCCAGTGCTGAGTCTTGGCCATCCCACAGCCATCACTCTCTGCTGCAGGGCTGTGCAGCCCCTCACTCCTAGGCAGACAGTGCTGGTGGTGGATTAAATCACCTCCAGCTGCACAGAGGTGGTGGGATGCAGATCATACCCCCACAGGGGTCCCAGCACTCTCCCACCCAGCACTGGGACAGGCAGCTCCCAAAGCTGCAGCTGCATGCATCGCTCAGGCCCCACCATTCGGATGCTTTTATGTTCATTTCCCACAAATATTCCACTTTTCTGGGCCAAAGCAGCTGGAAGTGGCTCTTGGAGCCAATTCACACAAGTTTTGTTGTCTCCCAACACTGCCCTCCCACCCCAAGCCTCAAGTACTTTTCGCTGCTGTCAGTACCAGGATGGGTGTTTGTCCATCGTGGGTGTTTGTCCCAGCACATGGTCCTGTTCACCCTCACATGGTCCCTGGTGAAAGTCCCCACAGCCAGGCTGGGAACACAGTGACTCACACGAAGTCTGGGACTGCAAGTGACCCAAATGCAAATTAAACCATTAAAAAAAAAGAAAAGGAGGTTGGAAACAGCAAAAAGGACTGAATCAGTGTGTTACTCTCTGCCCTCGATTTTGCAACCACCCAGAGATGGGGAAAGCCTTCAGCCAGGCACAGTGCTGTCAACAGCAGCAGTGCCTCCATGGTGGCAGTGTCCCCAGCAAGCCTGCCCTGTCCCCACCCCATCAGCACACAGCAGACTCTCCGAAAGGTACAGCTGCCTTATCAGCTGCCTCGAGCAGGCGAGAGTAAACAGGACGTCCCACACCAGCGCTGGGGTGCAGATGAAAGCAGCCTGGCCTGCAGAGTCTGCCAAGTATGCGAGAGCAGCAGGCTTTGCTTTTGTTTTCCTTTTGTTTATTAATGCCTGTATTTATTTACTTTTCAGCCCACGACTAGGGGAAGGAGGAGGGAGAGGCTGGGAGCCTGGTGGGAGACAAACTGGAGGGCTGGTGAGCTGCCTTCCCCCACTTCTGAAGGCTCAGTGGGGTATATTTAATTTTATTATTTTATTGTATTTGTAACTTTATTTTTTTATTTGTATTTATTTTAATTTTTAAGCCCCTATCTGGGAGTTGCACCATGCCCAGCATCCCCCCAGCCTTTACCCCTGCCTGGAGCTCCTGTTCCTCACAGCAGCATCCCAAAGCCACAGCCCCTGGCTGCCCTGTGCCTCAATGGGCACTTAACCCACATCTGCCCATCCTGCCTGGGGTGCAGGGGAGGGTCAGGCTCGGTGAGGTGACAGCACCACTGCTGGGAAGTGCCCACGCTGCCAAAACCGCAGCCTGTGAGCAATAGGAAAACTCGTGGGGGGCAGATGGGGCTCGGTGTCACGGCTTCCTGTGCCTGACACAGGTCCCTTTGCTGACCCTGCGCCAGGGCAGGCCTGAGGGCCACCAGATCCTGCACCCAGCACACCATCCCTGGCCCCAGGCAGCACTGCTGTCCATCCATCCAGCTTTCCCTTCCTCCAGGGCCCTTTTTGGGGTGGCCAGGTCAGGGCAATGCTGCTTCTCTGGGGTGCCACACTCTCAGCCAGAGCCCCACCTCACCAAGGGCTGCAGAGCTTGGGGCACTTTTGATTTTTGTGGCTGTCTGAAGGGTGAGCAGGCTGGGAGGAGGGGTGGCTGCTTCAGCACACACCGATTTCCTGCCAGGCTGTATTTTTAGCAGGGCCAGCCCTTGATAACCCGGAGATTCAAAGGAAACTGTGAGGTAAGTGTGCCTTGAAAAGAAGAGAAAAGGAAGAGAAGAGAAGAGAAGAGAAGAGAAGAGAAGAGAAGAGAAGAGAAGAGAAGAGAAGAGAAGAGAAGAGAAGAGAAGAGAAGAGAAGAGAAGAGAAGAGAAGAGAAGAGAAGAGAAGAGAAGAGAAGAGAAGAGAAGAGAAGAGGAGGGGAGGAGAGAAGAGAAAGAGAAGAAAAGGAGAAGAGAAAAGGAGGGGAGGGGAGAAGGAGAAGGAGAAGGAGAAGGAGAAGGAGAAGGAGAAGGAGAAGGAGAAGGAGAAGGAGAAGGAGAAAAGAGTGCTGGCTGTGCAGGAAGGCAGGGAGGAGGGGGTGGCACAGGTGGAAATTGGTACCAGTGGCACCACCAGGACTGGTTTGGGGAGTGGGGCAGATCTCGGGCTATCTCCACAGCCCATGAAAGCTGGGGCTTGTTTCTGGCAGGTGGATGCTCAGTGTCGGCTGAAACTGTGGTGGAGAGGCTGAGGGGAGGGCCGGGCAGGGGGAAGGGGCTCCTCCAAGCTTCCCACGCACACGCCTGCCCGCCGGCTGTTAACAACACCCTGCTAACAACCGGCTCTCACCTCGTCCCCACCGCCTCCCTCCCGCCCCCGAGCCTGGGAAAAACCAGCCCCGAGGTGCCAAAGCCTGTGCGAGCCTTTTGGGAAGGGGAAGGAGGAGAGGAGCCTCACACCCCGGGATGCAAATGGCCAGCAGGATCGCGGTACCCGTGGGAAAAACGAGGATGGAGGAGCAGCCCCTCCTCAGAGCATCCCTGAGAGCTCGGCCCGAGGTGATAACATCTGCGGGGGATCAAGGGCTGCTCGGAGCAGCACATCCATAAAGAGACGCCGGAGCCGGGAGCAGGTGACTGTGGTCAGCAAAAAAAGCCACTTTATTGGTGACCGCTCCCACGGGAACCCCGCGGCAGCGATCGGGTTCAGGTCCCTGAGAACACACTGTCCATGCTGGTTCCCCTCCCCACAGCTATTGCCTTAAACACATCCTAGGTACAGAAAGCACAGAGTGACATTCCAGATACTGGAACATATAAATTAAGGTAAGTGATAGTTACAAGACATCGCAAAAAAAATTTTTTTTTTTCTTTCTTAAACAGGTTATCAAAGGTCAGGGATTTTTCTTTTTCTGATCCACAGAAAATGTATAAAAAGCATTTAAAATCTACATATTTCTCAATGTGTGTTTTTTTTTTTTTCTTAAAAAAAAAGGCACAGTAAAAAAATACTGGCTCAATAACATATTTACAACACACCCATTATGGGCTATTTTCACTCAGCTTCAAGGTGGAAATGTTCAGCTCTGGCTCAGCCCAGGGGCAGAGAGGGCTGGTGTTGGCAGGCAGGGCCAGCTCTCGGATGATGCAGGGTCCCTCTCCCTCCCTGGATAAATCCCTCTCCAACAGGGAGAGCACAATGGGAGCGTTGGAGATGCGGCCTGCCTGTGGCAGGTGCCTCCTGGGCAGCACCCAGAGCCAGGGCAAGGCTGGAGGATGCTCTGGCCCCACAGGGGACACCCACACAGCCTGGGCAGACCTCGAGGTGTTCCTTGCAGAGCTGCAGGGCTGCCCGAGCAGCACTGGAGGGAGACCCTGGACAAACACAGCGCCCATCCCACTATGGCAGCTCTGGAGAATCCCTCCTCCCATGCCCAATTCATAGAAAGTCTTTACACCAGTCTCTAAATAGTTCACCCACCGATGCTGCCAGCAACACTTCACCCGTGTGGGGGGAGCTCTGGGAAATGGAGTTAACACCAACACCATCTCCCAGCCACCCCACTACCTCCCTCCAGTGAGGCTGTGGAGCACCCAGCAGCTTTGCAGGACCCTGGAGGAGCCACTGCCATGGCCAGAGGCTTCCCCTGCCCACCTCTGCCTGTAGAACTCAGAGGGACCCCTCATCCAAACTGGGAGCCAGAGCTTCGCTGCTGAGATTTTGGGACTGGGAGAGAGGATGGGCTGGGTCAGGGGTTACAGGAGCGGGTTGTGGGGAAGATGCAAAAAAAGGGAAGAACACACCAAAAAAAAAACTTAACATTTGAAAGGGAAAAAAAACAACAACCATCAAGGAGAAGCAAGGCCGGGGTGGGGCAGGGCCCCGCGCTGCAGCCGCTGCCCACGCATGGCGTGGGGCGCGCCAGCCGCGGTGCCCGTGGGTAAGTGCTCATTCCCGTCCCTCTGCGCCCTCCCGGCCGAGCAGGCAGCGAGGCAGGCAGGGCAGGGCTCAAGGGGCCGCACAGCAGCCTTCAGTACACACACACTGTGCAATACCACAGCAACGACGTCCGTCCGTCTGTCTGTCCGCCCGGCGGCGAGGCCGGAGCGACACAACCGCACGCAGGTCCCGCGCGCCCGTCGGATACCGGGGAAACTCGGGACGAGGCTGGAGGGCACGTGCACCTCCTAGTAAACCATGTTGGTGGGGCACCACGGCGTGTCGGGGTACAGCAGGCAGTGCACGGAGCGGAACCTGGGGGGGAGAGGAGCAAAGCTGAGCACGGGACGGTGGCAGCCCCAAGGCACCCAGGTTTGGGGGGACAGGGAGCCCCAGCTCACCTGGATGGGTCCTCTTCGACAGAGAAGGCTCCCTTCATGTGAATGGAGTTCCGCTTGTTTTCGAACATGCCGTAGCTCAGCGTCACCTGGGGGGCAGGCACAGAGGGGTGAAGTGGCCGACATGGCCGTAAGGATCAAGCAGAGGAAAGGGGAGATGCAAAATTCACCCCATTTCCCAAAGCCTCCAGTGACACTTTGCATCACCCCACAGGGATGGGCCAATGGGGCTTTTCCCCTCTGCTGTTTTGGTCACATATGAATCAATCAATATCTTAGCCACAGTGCCCAATTTTTAGCTGACAACTTGGGGTACCTGTTTGTGGATCTCCGACTTGGGCACCTGGTGGAGGTTCTCCAGGTGGGAGTGGAAGAGGTTGCTCCTGATGAGCTTCACGCCCAGCACAGACTCGATGATGTAGCCGATGGTGCAGTCGTCAGGCAGGCGGATCTTCTCTGCAGTGCTCATGAAGTGACCCCCACTGCGGGGAGACAGAGAGGGGCTGCAGAGGAGCAAAGCCCAGGGGATGTGGGCACCCTGCAGGATTCTGGGCTTGGCCAATGGGTGCCCAGCTCTGATTAAAAGTCACTTTGGGGGAACTGAAGCCCTTCCCAGCTTGTTTCCAAGCTCCCTGCAGACACCCCCAGAAGGCAAAGAGAGAAAGGTTGTGGGACGTGGTCCAACACCCATCCCCAAAAATGTCACCTCTCTGTGCCCTGGGGACCGTGAGGACTCCCCATGGGAGAGCAACACCAATGCTCTTACCTGGCCCAAGGGCTCATCTTCAGTGCCAGCCCCCGGCTGATACAGAACCCTGCTCCACCCGTGGCAAACCAGAAATGCACAGGATGCTGCAAGAGAGGGGAACCAACGCAGTGAGAAAACAGCTCCTTCTGCACACAGCCCACATTAAACCAGCCCCAAACTCTCCCCAGGCTCACCATCTTGTTCTCACTGATCCTCTCCGTGGCCTGGATGGGCCGGTCCAGGCTGGGCTTCCCGATGTAGATGTCCTGTGTGTGGGGGTAGCTGGAGAGCAGCTTCACCAGCATCCGCACGTTCACGTAGTTGTCATCGTCCACGTGGCAGAACCATCTGCAGTGACAGCAGTGTCACACCCACCCGGGCCAGCTGCCCAGACTCCAAACCCAAATACACAAATGGTCTCTGTTTGCACCATCCTGCCCCCCTTTATCCCTATCCTCCCCCAGAGCAGCCGCTTACTTTCTGCCGGACTCGATGAACTTGTCGTACTCCACGGCCATCTTGCAGGACAGCGCCTGGCGGCTGTGGGCAGCCGAGCAGTTGGTGTTGATGACGTTTCCTGCAGGGGAAAAAGAGGGGTCAAAGCCCATTGGTGCATCCCACACCTCCCCCCACACTCAATCGGTGACACTTCACCACTCATGTCCCAGGTGTGCCAGTGGGGTGGAAAGTCATGGGTGATCCCAATGCTTAGTGACCCACATGCTATGGTGCTTTGGGCAAATGAAGGATTTTTGGGGGAATGTCTTTTTTGTCCACATGAGAGAAGGGAAGGGATGATTAAGGAATGTGGATGCAGCAGATGCACTGTAGAGCAGCTCAATCCATGTTTTAAGCATGATGCCACCCCACATCACCTTGCCCAGGGTGGACTAGCTACCCTGGAGGTCAGGGGATGTCTGCGAGCCCTGAGCTTCCTCAGGACATGGTAGCAAAAATCCTGCCCTATTTTGCTTGCCCAGCTCAAAGGCAATCACTTCCCAGCCTGAAAAGGAGTCATTTGCATGGGGAGAATAGAACACAATGACCCTAGCCCAGAAAATGCTCCCACAAAACCCTGTTGGTGCTGCCATCAACCCCAGCTCAACCCAGGGACAAAGTGGTGCAAAAAGTGGGATTAAAAGTTGGGTTACTGTGATCCCCACCATGTAGGGGATGGGCTAGGCTGGCTGGGAAGTAAAGCTGCCCCCAGATGGGGCTCCCAGGCTGAGGGTGTTTAGGCATCATCAGTGAAACAAATTGTGTCATTCTCAACTAATGTTCCTGTGGTAAGGGCTTTTTCAGAGTTCCCAGGGCAGGACCCACACCAACCATGCTCCACAGGTGGGAGCTTTTCAGGGGACCTGGCCAGGTCACACACACAAAGGGACAAGAGCCACAGACTCACGTGCTTGCTTCTTCAGCTCCTCATCCTCCCCGTCAGTGAAGATGAAGGTCTGAAAGAGAAGACGAGGCACCTCTGAGGACTGAGGGGCTGAGACCATGTGGCCCTGGGCAGCACCTGGGAACAGCTCCGCCAGGAAGCTAGTGGTGACTTCCTCCCCCTTGCCAAAACCCCGGGTGGCACTGGAGAGCCAGGCAGCCACACAACAGCCCCAGCTGCACACCAGGCTGGGTGCTGAGCTCCCCTTGGGAGCAAACCCTGCACAGAGCATCCCCATCCTGTTGCCATTAGCACAGGCAGCAGCTGGCAGGGAGGTGTGGGGGCCACCCAATAGGCGTCCCCAGCACCAGGGGAGGCAGGGGCACTCAGGGGAGCAGGTGCAGAGCCTGATCTGAGCAGGGATTTCAGAGCTGAGCCGGCGCGCGTGGCGCCGCAGCAGCCGCCCAGGCAGGTGTGTTTGTCCCTGGCGCCGGCTCCAACCGCGTCCCCACCTGTGTCAACAGCACGTGCCTGTCCTTGGCCACTTGCACAATGCCCCCACAGCTCCTCTCTGCTCCCTGTGTCCTACCCAAGGGGGCTGAGATGGTGCCAGCGAGCACTGACGAGGGGATGGTTCCCCACTGCCCATCCCAGCACAATCCCACGGTGCCAGGCAGTGCCCGACCGGGCCCCTGAGCTGCCTGCCCGGCTGCACTCCTCTATTTACACAGCTAATTCCTGGCATATGTCACCCAGGAAGGAGGACTGGAGGGGCTGCTCTGGGCCTGGGATTTGGGGAAGGACGAGAAGCAGGAGGAGAGAGCAGGGGGTGGGAAAGGCATCGCCATCAATCAGCGGGCAGCAAACAAAGCTGGAGGAGAGAAACCACAACCAGCTGCCAAGCGCTATTAAAAACCAGACATGCACAAAAGGGCAAAGGAGGAAAGACAAAAGGGCTGGAGGGGGAAGGCAGGAGGCAGCAGAGGGGGGACGATGGAGCGCTGGGGATGATGAATTACAAGTGAGCTGGAAATTGGGTGCCACCCCGCAGCCGGCCCCGGGAGCGCGCTGGGGTTTTGTGGCTTGTTTGAGGAGCTGGGTACAATAGTGGGGTTGACTTTACTCAGCGAGCAGAGTTAAGCGGGCAGCAGTCATTAGCATACAGCTGCACTGGTTAACCCAGCCCTGTTTGCTCAGGTCCCCAGCCGGGGCTGGTGGGGACAGCCCGGAGCTGCAGTGAGCCTCAATGGGAGGGGACGGGGCTACAAGTGACCTCTGGGGCTTGAAAAGGAGAAAAGAAAAAGCAGGGGGGAAAAAAAAATGATGGAGGAGGTGGGAAGGCAAGTTCTCACAAATGCACAGCCTGCCGTGCAGCCTGGCTTGTGGGGAGGGACAGAGGTCAGGAAGGCTCTGAGCAAAGGGGATGGGGAAGGGCTGGTGAGGAGGGGACAGCTGGGGGACAGGGAGCCATCAGCTGCAGGGCCAAGGATGCCCGTGGTGCTGTGTGTCCATGGACACAGCACTGCTGGGGTGGCACAAGGTCAGTGCTGTGTGTAGAGGAGGAGCTGTCACACCCAACCAACTCGGGGTACAGCTGCTGGTCCCTATTTCCCCCAGGTGCTCAGGGACTGGTCAGGCAACTGATTGAGGTACAAATCGAACCAGAGCAGCAGCACAGCATCCAAGGATGCCTGAGACAAGCCCATCACACAGGGGGTTGGCACTCCAGCCCAGGTTTCAGCCTTGCTGGGAGGGGGGACAGGGAACACACAGCCTGTGCACAGGCGAGACAGAAAATGTTTGCTTGATTAGCTCAGAAGCGCCGTCCAGCAACTGCCTTCAGCTGCTCCAAAAATAACCCCACAACTAATCCTGCACTCAGCCTCTATAAATAGAGCACAGAGACAATTGTTTATTACTTGCCAGCACCGAAACGTTTCATCCTAGCCAGGCATCTCCCCTGGGCCCCTCCCCACACACAGCCCTGGGATATTCCTGGTGTGGGAGGGCCAGGTGGCACCTCAGGGACTGGGACAGGGGCACACAGCTGCCAGTCACCCCTTGTGGGCACCTACTCAGGCCTCACACATCCCTCCCAACCTCATTGTGACATTAAGTGAACACTAAAACAATTAAAGACTTTATTTTTTAAATTCATTTTTCTTATTAATTTGTGTTTCTTGGAGGGAAGCTGGACCCTGCCTGCATGGCTTTTCACCTGGGGCTGCAGGGGAGAGGGGCAGAGGTGACAGCCAAGCCTGTGAGGGGATAGGCGAGGAAAGGATGAGAACAAGCAAAAAACATGAATTCATCTTTGGCATCTCCCGTGTAGGATGCCAGACATGAGGGCAGAGCCCAGTTTATAGCGGTGCAAGTGGGCACTGCAGCCAGCATCCCTGAGCTGTCATCTGTAAAGCACCACCTCCAGAGCACTCCCAGCCCTCACAGCCACCTCCCTCCCACCTGGCCCCTGTGCCAGCCACAGCACCGCGGGCTGCAAGCACCTCTTGGACCACCCCCCCCCCAGTAACTTTTCCTGCAGGGTGCAAGAGAGGAAGGGCCCGCTGCCCCCCCCATCAGCCCCTTCAGGAAACCTCATTGTTCTCAGAACTGCAGCTTCAAGAAACACAGGATGCCAAGTCCCTCCCGAACAATAGCTGCCAGCGCTGCTCGCGGCCCCGCACAATGCGCGGCCCCGCGGCCGGGACTGAGCGGCACCCGGGATGGATCCCGGCGGCCAGAGCGGGGTCAGCCCCTCCCCGGTGCCCGCCAGGAGCCAGGCAGCCGCCGCCAGCCCCCACTGCCCCCTGCGAGCCCTTGGGGAGGGAGCTTTTCTTTCTTTTCTTTCCTCCCCTTCGTTTCTCCTTTCAGGGTGACTCATTTCCCCTGCGCTGCCGGAGCCCGTGGGGCGTTCATGGCTGGGGCTGCACAAGGTGTCCCCTCCAGCCAGGGCCACTCCGGGGTCATTGTGGGCTCTCTGTGCTGCCTGGCCCAGTGGCTCTGTCACTTCCCAGGGTGACACACTCTCAGCATACCCCTGTGCCTGCCACCACCCCACCAAAAGGGGAACTGGGCCAGGCAGGCACCCCGTGACCCTGCAGGGCACAAACCCTGACCCTGTGCCACATCTCGCTTCCCCATGCTGGGAGAGGATGGAGCACCCCAGCACCCTTTTCACAGCCTGGGTGCAGAGGAAAGGAGGCAACAAGATGTGCTGGTTGAGGGGGTCTCAGTCTCCAGCTGGTTCTGGAGCAGGTCAGGATGCTGCCTGCCAGCTTTGTGTCCCCCAAGCAAAAGTTCCTCTTTTCCCTCCAACCTCAGGGTTAAGTTGGGAAAATGCCCACCCCCTTCACCAAGTTGGGAGCAGTGTGATGGCGATGTCCCTGCGATGACAGCGTGCCACGATGGCAGCAGCCCCAATCCATGGGTGGCTTTGCCCGGACCGGGGGCGGGTCTGTGCTGGCCCCGGATCGCAGGGCTGGGACCTGCAGAGGCGGCGAAGGGGCTTGCAGGGCCGCGGGCCCTTCCTCCCTCCCCCCGCTCCCTTCAGCAAGAGGAAGAATCCTCCACTGTAATTTTAAATGCTATAATTTTTAATAACCTCCTCACAAACAATGAGCTCATTGTGTGGCGAGGGTCCCCCGCCCTCCCTCCCGCCTGGTGCTCCACGCGCCGCTCGCCGGCCGCGGGGCTTTTATGGGCAAGGACAGCAGCATCCCTCCTTCGGGACGGGCAACGGAGGGGCTCCCACCCCTTAAACCCACACAGGCTGCGCCGGGGGACAGCGGGGAGGGACCCTCACACCCCACCCGAGTTCATCGGTGCTCAGCAGGGCCTGGCACCCAGCTCAGGGCCGGGGGGAGGCAGCTGCACTGTGGGGCTGGTTTGGGATGAGCAGCCCCCGGTCTCAGCCGCTCTGGTGGGAGTGCGAGCGAGACTGGCGTGCCAGCACACTCCGGCGTGTGGGTGGGGACCCTGGCCAAGGTGCTAGAGGAATTTGGGAGCCGCCATCAGAGGAGCGTGCTCTTTGGAAGGCGAGCCCGTTGGCTTTGCCCCGAGAGCAGGAATTTTTCAAAGGCTGCAATTACCGACGGGAGGCAGCCAGCGGATCCCACGCTGCCGGGACGGCGGCCCGGGCTGAGCCCTGGCGGGCTGCGAGGCGTGTGCCGAGCTGCCTGGGTGCCTCCGCGTGCCCCAGGGACACCCAGCGCCTCCAGGGCACCCCCAGGGGCAGCAGAGGTGTCTTTGGCGACTCTGCCGCTGCAGATCACCCGACTCGGCAAGAAAGCAGTGGATTTGGAATGGCTCCTGTCCAGGGTTTCTGCTTTATGGTCATTTTCCTCCCCTCTCGCTTTCCTTTCAAGTGCAAAGTTTCTACAGCATCCTGAGGATACTGAGATAGCTGGAAACTCTCCTCAAAGCAAAGCAGGGAAAGCCCATAACTCTCCTCCAAAAGCAGCTTGTCCGGCCTGGACTGTGCAACCCAAAGAGGGGATTTAGAAGGGAATAGGGATGTGCTCTCCCTGTGCAGAGAGGCAGGAAGGAGATGGGGGTGCCCTTTGCAGTGTCTTGGAGGTGACAGAGGGCAGGAAACAGGGACTATTGTGGGCAGAACAAAGAACGGCCAAGGAAGGACACAATGGCTGTTCCCCCTATCTGCCAGGAGCTACCTGCTGGATTTAACCCCTTCTCAGCATGTCTGCATCCCTCCTGCCTGGCCAATGAACAGCCAGAGGGAGCCTGGGGGTTGAGGGGGGTTGAGTGAGAGGAGAAAGAGATGCAGCATCAGGCAAAGGAGATTCTGAGCCCCTGGGCAGGAACTTCCCCGCGTTGGTGAGGCAGCTCACATGCCTGAGCACCGTTAGTGAAACCCAGAGTGAGGGAGGATGAGCAGAGACAGGCCTGACTCAGACCAAGAGAGACGTTTGAGCAAAGGCAGTGCCACAAAATCACCGTCCTGGGATGGAAACCAGGGGGCCAGGCAGGGAAGAGATGCAGGGAAGCAGGAAAGAAGAGCGCCATAGCACCAACCCCACACTCTGCAGGCAAAAATCCCCAACCTGATGCCAAGTTTGGGGAAGCCCAGGATGCCTCAAAGCCTCCCGGGGACAGCGTGGGAAGGGCAGAGCCGGTCACCCCCAGCAGGGTGGGCTCATCCCCTGTGCTCACATCCCTGCTTTGCCCCGCAGGAGTTTGTGCTGCCTCCAGCTCTCTCGGCAGCTCCTTGTGCTCAAGTGCTGTACAAGAGGCGTCACTCAGCGGCTTGGCTTGTCAGGCAGGCACCTCGCCGGGCTGCGGCCCCCCTGGCTTCATGGCCCTCATCTCTAGGCAACCTGACCTGGACACGGCCGGCTCCGGCTCCCTCGTTCCCATGGAAAGTGCCACACAAGAGGCTGCGAAGCCTTTTCTCTGCGCCAGGAGAAAAGGGGCTTTGTTAGCTTGCCCAGGGGGACAGCGTGAGAGCCGAGCCTCAGGGCTCTGGGAATCCAAACGGACAAACGAAGCACAAAAAAAAAAAAAAAAAAGAAAAAAAACCCCTAGAAGAAAGCCGGAGCTCACAAGAGGGAGAAGAAAAAAAAGAGCAGCCATTCCCAGGATCATCTGTAGGTGCTCAAAGAGCGTTTCACTCCACCACCACTCACCACCCCCTCGCAGTGACAGCAGAGCATAAAAGAGGTTTCCATTAAATAACTGGACCAAGGAGAAGTGGCAGATCCACTGCCAAGCCCAGGAAACATGAGCAAAAAAAAAAAAAACCAAAAAAAAAAACAAAAAACCACCCCACAATTCACAGGGGAAAAAAATGCAGCAAGATAATTCTTGGGGTACAGTGAAGGAGCCAAGACACCACAGGGTCCAGCAGACCTGGGTGAGGGGGGCATGGGTAGGTCAATCCTTCCCCCATGGCCTCCACCCTCAGCCACTCCAGATTTCCAAGGAAAACAGTTTGCAAGCAAGAAACTGAGTTTCAGGCCAGGAGGAAACACGTGAAGACAGTAGGAAGAAAAGGTTAGGACCAGACATAACTTACTTTGGGGAAGCTGTCTAAGGGTAGAAAAAGTGTCTTAAGAGCAAATGGCAAAGCACATTTCCTAAGGAAACAGCCTTTTTTTTTTTTTCTTTTGAATTTTGCTTCAGTACTTGAAGAACAGGGCAAGGGACTGCCAGGACTTTGGGCAGGACATTAGTAAGGTCAGGAACCAGACTCGCTGGAGCTGCCCCGGTGTGGGGGAGCCCACAGAGCTCCCAGCAACTCCAGTCCTGCTCAGTCCCTTGCCAGGAGACCTGAGGAGAGCTTCAGCACATCCCAGCAGCACATCTCCCAGCCCTGGGCTCATAAACTGGGTGTCCTTTGAGCAGCACAACTGTGGCACCCACGGGTTTGGCTGCACCCCCACACCGTGCTTCAGTTTACCAGCCAAAAGCAGCTCTGCAATGGAGGTACTCAGGGGAAAGGACCCCGGAGCAGAGTTTGGGGAGGATTCTGAGTGTGAGGAGCCAAGGTCGGGCTCTCTCCATCACTCACCCTGCAACGCTGCATTTCACCCTCCCAAAAACACAGTTGGCTGCAGAGCAGCCCAGCCAGCCCCGGAACACCGCCCTGCTCAGCGATACGGGGCACAAGGGAAGGGCAGGTGGTGTTTGCTGGGTCACGGCACCACCCGGATCGCGCAGAACGAGGTGCCAGGACCGCGGCAGAGAAGCGTGGGCTGCAGCCCGCCCCGAGCCGCTCCACCCCGGCCAGCAGAGGGGACCAGCCCCGTCCCCATCCCTTACCATGTCGCGGTTGCGGGAGATCCAGGTGTCGAGCAGCAGCTCCAGCCGCGCCTTGTGAAACTTCTTGGTGGTCTTGACGGCGATGAAGACATCGCGGGGGGAGATGTCCTCGGCCGGCGGCCGCGGGGGGCTCGGCGGGGCCGGGGGCAGCTCCCGCCGCGCTCGGCTCAGCCGCCCGAAGTAATCGGCGAAGCTGCGCAGCCCGGGCGGCCCCTGCGCCGCCGGAGGAGCCACGGCCGCCGCCGCCCCCAGGCTCTGCAGCGCCCGCTGCGCCCCGCCGGCCTCCCCCCGGGCCAGCCCCGGCCTGCCCGGCGGCTCCACCATGAGCACCAGCAGGCAGGTGAACATGGAGCCCACGAGGGACAGGAGCAGCTTCCTCCCGCAGCTCTTCAGCATCCTTCCTTCCTGCCTGCCCTCCGCTGCTCGCCGCTCCGCGCCGCCTCCACCGCCGCCAGCCCCCGCCGCGCCGCCGCCTTTAAACCGCGCCCGCCCCGCCCGGGGAGGGACGGAGCCGGGGCCGCCCCACGCGGGGCGTGGGCACCGCCCGGCCCGGCCCTGCCCTGCCCTGCCCGCGCCCCTCCGAGCCCCGCGGCCTCCCCGCCAGCCCCTGCACGCGTCCCGGCTCCTCCGGGCCCGTCCTGCCCGCTCCGGCCTCTGCCCTGCGCATCTTCTGCCCGCGGCTGGGAGCGGGCAGGGTGCCCTTGCTGCCTCCTCCTCCTCCTCATCTTCCTCCTCCTTCTCCTTCTCCCTTTCCCCTGATACCCAGGGATGGGGACACTCTGTTCCCCTGTAGTCCCCAGCGCCCTGGGAGCATCGTTCACTGCCCTGGGAGCATCGTTCGCTGCCCTGCCGGCAGCAGAGGGTGCGGTGCGTTCGTTCCCCGTCCCGAGCTGCCCAAAATCCTGCACCGAGATGTTCTCATAGCCCTGTCCAAGAGGTTTCCAGAAAGCTGAGCAGCCTGACCAAACTCCAGGCACTGTCCCATCAGTCTCCCGTGAGGCAAAGCATAATTGAAAACAAACACACCAAACCTCTCCCCAAAAAAGCCACAGCACTCCTCTCACTTCCAAAAAGTTCCTTTCCAGTGGGCAAATCTGGGGACAGGGAGCCAGGAGCGTCTGCTCTCATCCCTTCTTCAGGGAGATCTGGAGAGGCTCGCAGACTTGACCAACCTCATCCCAGGCACAGCACCGTGCTTTGAAGCCCCAAAGTGCTGGGATATCTGAAAATAAACGATGTATAGGTACCAAGCAGCCCCCTCCCCTCATTCTCAGTGATCACTAATCATGATAATGATCTCTTGTTAAATGAGACACCATTTTTCCAGCCAGACAGTGGGAGAAGTGGTTCCTGAAAGAGAAAACTCGGTTGAAATCGGGTCTTGGATGTGCCACCAACTCGATATTTTCCTGGCGCCAAATCCCAGGGCCTCTTTTCCCCCTTCCCCTCTGTCTCTGCAAGCAGTGAGCTCTTGGGGTTTTCTTTCCCAGGGAGTGTGCTGCTACAGGGAGGCGGATTTGGGTTTGGGCCTGGGCTGCAATGTAATGCCATAATCAGGGGCTGCTGCATTTTTGGGCAGGGACCTTGTCCAACTTGCATTTTTCCTGCTGTCACGTGTTCCATTCATCTCTGGCACTGGATAAACAATACCATAATACCAGGCAGGATGAAGCAGGGAAACTGCTTCCTCAGGCAAGCCCCAGCATTTGCCTCCTCTTGATTTTAGGCCATGCATTCTCTTGGTCAGCACTTGAACCTAGATCCCAGGCTAGAAACACTCGGGGAGACTTTAAGCTTCGTTTTTCGGGGCATTGGCCACATCTGGAGACAGATCTGGGTTGCCAAAGAAGAGCCTTCCATAATAAAATTTTTTAAAAAGGCAGTTAGACCATACAAACACAGGAACCAAATCCCACACTCCCCACTTCCCGCTATTGCTGCCCAGCCTTCCAGTCTCAATTTGCTCTTTTTTTTTTTTTTTTTTTTGGGCGCCCTTTGTCTCCAAACCCTATGGCACAACAACCGCGGCTCGAGAGGCAGCTGAAAAGCCCGAGCAGCAAAACCCTGAATGAAGAAAGAGCCCCTTTCTCCAGGAGCCAAAAGGGGAGGAAAGGCACTTTTCCCCCGACCAGCTGCTCTGCCACTCCCGCAGCCCCGGCGCTGGCTGGGGACACGCGCTGTGGCCAGATGTTGGGGACACAACTGCGAGTGACAATGCGGGCTCTGTGTGCGCAGGGCTCTGTGTGCGCCGGGCCCCGGGGATGCAGGGGATGGAGGAGCCGCTGTGCTGCCCTCGGGGATGCAGGGGATGTGCAGGATGTGCAGGGGATGGAGGAGCTGCTGTGATGCCACCGCTGCCGCCACCAGCGCTGTCCCAGCCTTCCAGCCCGGCTGGAAGTTGTTCTTCCAGCAGCACCGTCCTGCCAGAACAAGACTCCTCCGGGATTGTCCAGCCGCTGGCCGTATCCCCACAGATTTCCCCTCCAGGCGCCTCGCTTGGTGCTGACACCAAGGCATTAAATCCACTGCTGGTTTAATGCCTCCCTCACCTGCCACGAGGCACCGATTCCCCCAGGGAAACCCTGCTTGCTTTGCAGGGGGCACAGCGTGGCACCTGAGGGGCAGGGAGCCAAAAGTGGGCATGGGGAGGATGTCCGAGGAAGGTTTGGTGCCCGGTTCACTGGTATTCAGACAATTTTTTGGGTACAAAAAGCTTAAGCCCAACAGGAGTGACTCCAGGACCAGACAAATTTGGGTGGCCCATAAATACAAGGGGCAGGGGAGATGGGTTCTGTCATGGCTGTTCTGCCAAAGGGATGCCCAGGCTGGACCAGGAGGGGCATCTCACTCCCTCTCCCAAAAAGGATCCCATTGTGGACATAGTCCATAACTCCTCACACTGAGATGTGAGGTGAGGCTCGCTCTGGCTGCAGGGTGCTGGTGTGCTCCCCACATTCCTGACTCCACAGGGATGATTCCAAGACAGAACATTCTGCTCAAATCCCCCAAATCTCAAGCAAATGATCGCTCCCACTTCAGATCGATTTCACTGAAACTCCAGACTAGTTTTCCGCTGCAGATAGCTGGATTCAGCCCCGCACCAAACCCAGGGCCGGGGCTGCACGTGGGGTATCTCCCTTTCAGCCATACCACGGTATTAGGTCGATTTAAATTGGTTTAAACTCTCCGCATCGCCCCTGCTCGCAGCCTGACCCCGGCGCTCAATAGGTGGTCCCTAAGAGGCTCCCAGGTTCTCAGGGCTGCTAAAAATGGTTAATAAATCCCCAGGAATAAAGTGTTCAGGTCATCCGAGAGAAATGCCGCGCTCGGGCTGCAAAGCCGCATTGTCTGCCCGCAGCGATTTACGCGCTCCGCCGGACAGGGGTTAAAAGCTCTGTCAGGCGCCGACTTCGCTGCTGTCGCATTGTCGGGGATATTTAACGGGGTTCAGCCCCGACGTGCGGCCGGGCGGCCACTGCTCCCACTGAGCAGCTCAGGTTTGGGAGGGAGATGTCGGAGGAGGGCGGCCCAAGAGCTGGATGCTGCCCTTGGTCTGCCTCTCACCCCCCGCTTTTTTCTTTCTGGGATTTTCTGCCCGCACAAAAGAGATTTTTGCATCAATTACTGGTAGGAAAGCGGCAGAGCCCCGCGGCAGAACTCCGCGCTCCCGTTCCGGGCTTGGTTAACTTCCCATTGTCTGATAGGCTCCGCTATTCAGGGCTCCGCTTTTTTCATCTATCGCGGCTTTTTTTAAACACCTTCGAAACAAAAAACCTTCCTGCCCTTGTAGCAGAGGGTCTGGCAGTGCCTTTGGGGTGGAGCTTGTCAGCATCCCCCTGCCCAGCACGCAAATGTCCTACAAGGAGTGCCTGTGCTGCATCTCCTGATGCTGAACTGTCCCCACGCCGTCAATCCCCGATGCGCTCCAGCGCTGGCACCACCAGCCCCTGCTGCCAGCCCCCTCCACCCTCCGCGGCCTCACACCCTCCATCGCTTTTCCCCTCCACCTCTGGGGTCTGCTGGTCCCCTCGGCGGGGCGGGAGGACACGATTCCATCCGTGCGGGGCACTGTGAGATCCCACGGGGCCGGGGGCTATACAAATGCAAAGCGTCATTATTTTCCCGGGGCTGAAGCAGAGGCCTGAGAAAGGTTGAGTGAGAGAGGCAGCGAGCAGGGAACAGCGGGGGATTTAGCTGCTGAAAAGGAGCCAGGGAGAAAAGCGGGCGAGGAGTTGCATTGTGCGCTGGGCAGAGGGGGTCACGAGCAAGTTAAACTGGTTAATGTATTGGAGCAGCTTCCTCCGAGCTGCTGGGAGCAAGCAAAGCCCTCAACAAAAGGCCGAGGGAGCATTCTTGCGGGGAAAGTGGGCTCTCTTTAAAAGGATTTGATTTCTTTTCTGTCAGTTGAATGGAATTTGGTGGTGACTCCTCCAGGTCTAAGAATTTGGGGCTTTGGCGGTGGTGGTAGCGGGAAGGGACGGTCCCTGTCTCCCCCCTCTCCCCAGCTCCTGCATTTTTCTCCATCTCCAGGCTCGCTGCCTCCAGATTACAGCTCCCGGTGCTGCGGGGGGAGAGGAGGAGCTGGGGGAACACAAGCGGCCCCATGGATGCTCTGATCCTGAAAGAAAGCGAGGGGCACGGGGCCGTCCCTGCCCAGCCTGGTTTCTCATGCTCCCTATTCAGCCCAGGGGAGGGGAGGAAGGTGTGGGGAGAGGGGAGGCTGGTGGGGCATCCACTGCTGATTTAATGCCTCTCCCTGTGCTTCACCATCGAGGCTGATCTCAAGGGAGTTTTGGCAGCGTAAGGTGTGCAAGGGGAGCTTTGCACTCCTTCCTTTGGGGCATGGAATTTTGATGTCAAAACCATGGAATGAAGGTAAAAACATGAGGGAAAGGGAACTTGAACTAGGAGAATCAGCTGGATGTAACCCCTCTTTCCCACAGCCTGTGCATCTCTCTCCTCCCAACAGCAGCTCCTGGGGCAGACGAGGACTATCTTCACAGACCTGGCTTTGTCACCCCAAAATCCCTGGGCTGGTGGGCAGGAGCACTCCCTCTCCATGGGTCCAGCTCTGGGCCATGGGGGGGTGACACTGCTGCCAGCCAGGGGTGCTGGGCTGGGGGCAGCAGTCTCTGCCTGCAGGTGCCTCACTTGGTGCTGACCCCAAGAGCAAACCAGAGAGATTCAGAGCTGCCCCAATCTCCCAGCTGGAGATTTGCTGTTGCACACTGCTCAGACTAACTGGCAGCATGGATTTGGGGTGGGAAAAGGCAATAATTAAATAAGCAGTGACTGTGACTGGTAACTCTGCACTGCATGAGATTATCATGGAGCCAGAGACTTCAGCAGTGCTCAGGCCTCAGTTTCCCAAGAGGTGACATCGGCAAAGACACCATTGTCCCTGTCCCCTGGGCTGGTGTCTGTTTGTG